ATATATATATTCACACATCCATAATCATTAGCTGTCGGCGCTCTGCGCGGATTTCTTGGATCTGAGCTGGGCCCACCCTGGCGGCGCCTCCGGCGCCGCCCCTGGCGCGCCCCGCGTGCTAGTGAGGGGGGCTCCAGCGCAGATCCCAGAAATCCGCGCCGAGCGCCGAAATTTGGTTTATGCCGTTGATTTGCTCTTCTAGTTCGGGTCCTGGTCCCGAGTTCGTTCGCGGTCTTCGGGCCTCTTTGGGGCCCTCCCCTCCCCAGGCCGCGGGGGGGGGGGGGTCCCCGTCTGGGGACAGCTCGAGGCGGAGCGCTGATCCTGGAGTGCCCGGGGGGGAAGCGCCCTGCGGGGCCCAGACTCTCCTGAGGAGCCTGCTCTTCCTCCTCCTCCTCCTCCTCCTCCTCCTCCTCCTCCTCCTCCTCCTCCTCCTCCTCCTCCTCCTCTTCCTCCTCCTCCTCTTCCTCCTCCTCCTCCTCCTCCACATCCTCCTCCTCGTCCCGCCCCCGCTTCCGCCTCATCCTCCTCCTCATCATCATCATCATCCTCCTGCTCCTGATCCTCCTCCTCCTCCTCAGCCTCCTCGTCCTTCCCCTGCTCGTCCTCATCCTCCTGCTCCTCCTGCTCCTGCTGCTCCTCATTATCCTCCTGCTCTCCCTCCTCTTCCGCTTGCTTTTCCATTTTCTTCTCCTCCTGCTCCTCCTCTCCTCGTCCTTCTCCTACTTCTCCTGCTCCTACTCCTCCTACTCCTCTTCCTCCTCCCTTGTCATCCTGCTCCTCCTCCTCCTCCTCCTCCTGCTCCTCCTCCTCCTCCTGCACCTCCTCCTCATGCTCCTCCTCCTCCTCCCGGTTTTCCTCCTCCTCCTCCTCCTCCTCCTGCGCCTCCATGTCTTTTTCCTGCATCTCCTCCTCCTCCTCCTCCTCCTCCTCCTCCTCCTCCTCCTCCTCCTCCTCCTCCCTTCTCCCATCTCCCGGCTCCACCCTGCAGAGCTGGCCCGCGCGCGCGCCGCTAGAGTGTTCGGCCGCCGTGCTTGACTTGCTTCACCGCGTCGCCGCGCGCGAGGCCGCGAGACCGCCAACAGAACGAGGGTGCCAGAAGCATGGCACTCTTGGAGGCCCGCGCGGATTTCCCGGATCGGCCCTGGGGCCCCCTTGCGGCGCCTACCGCACCGCCCTTGGCCGCGCTCCGCGGGCCAGGGAGGGGGGCCCAGAGCCGATCCAAGAAATCAGTGCGGACCTCCGACAGCGTATGCTTAGGCTTATGCCATGATTTGAATCCAGAGCGTTGGGCCCCTACCTGCAGCATTGGGCACAGGGGTACCCCGGGGTGGGGGGGGGGAGGAGGAGGGAGAAGGGAAGGGGGCGCGGGGCGGGGCGGGGGCTCGTTTCCTTTCTCCAGAGTTGCCGGGCTTGGTTCCTGTGCCACCCAGGTTTGCTCTCCGCCCCAGGCCGTCAATCTGGCTTTGGGAGCCACGCCGTGTTCAGAAGAGGGGTGTTTCAGAGCTTCCTCCTCCGCGTCTTCGCCGTCACTCCTCATTCTCCTCATTCTCCTCATTCTCCTCATCTCCTCATCTCCTCATCCTCCCCACCCTCATCCGTACAGCAGCCCAGCACAGTCTTCAAGAGATCGTCTGCTTCGGGAGATCGGGAGAAGTCATTGACCTCTTGCGGCATGGGAGCGGGATGGTAGCCATCAGGGCTCAAGCGATCTGCGAAACTTGGTTCACAAGCTGTCTTGCACGAGATGCTCCCCGGCCTCGCCGCGCACGGGCGCATCTGAGAGGGGGAGGTTGGCGCACCCCGTCCAGACCAGGACGTGAGCTAAACTGTGTGCTCCGGCGATCCCATGGGCCGTCCTCGTTGCTGATTTCGCTTTGCAGCAGAGGCGGAGCGAAGACAGGGCCGAGGAGAACGAAGATGGAACGGGAACGAAAACAGAACGGAGCAAAGGCGGAGCGAAAACATAATGATGACAAACATACATCCCTCCTCCCAATCAAACGCACATTTTTCCAGCGTCGTGGCGGCGCTCCAGGACCCCAGGATTTCAATGTTCGCGCCGAAGCTGGCGACTGCAAACACAAGAATCTGCCCCCGCGGGCCGCGTTTCGCGCGTCGACCAGCATGAAACACGTGCGCTTGATTTCGAGGAAGGCTGCATTCGTAAACTGGAGGATATACAGTGCCAGTGGCGGGCTATTTTGTTCAACCCCAGGACTTCTTGAAGGTTGGGGACGACGTCGGGGTGGTCTGGTGTATACTTTTTTCCCCCGATTCTTCCTGGGGACACCACGAACAGCGTATACACGTGGATCCCGTATATACTAGAATCCGCTTTCTTGTTTGCAAATTTCAGTGCAGGGCTGGAGAAGGTGTCGGTGTATAGAGTTCGGTTCCCTGTGTCGCAAGCTGGGCGAGGGCTGGCAAATCCGTGGCTGCTGAAACAGTCTTCCCGGAAGAAAAGAACAGATTCCCGGAATCAAGTGCAGCGCACTAAATAGTAAACGGGCTGCTTCACGGAAGAGGCAACCGTTTCCTGAAGCTCCGCGTTAGCAGCCACGGGTTTGCCAGCCTTCACTTGGCTCCTGATTGCGTGTATCTCACCACCCACCAAACCACCCCAACCCAACCCGCAGGCTCAGATTTACCCTCGATTTCTAGTGGGGGGGGGTCCGGGAACATCGAAAAAACACATATGGAACCCATACCCCCCCCAACCCGAAATTCGGGTCTTCGGGTTGGGTTGGGGTGGTCTGGTAGGTAGTCAGTATCGCTGACAACACAGTTCAGCTCGAGTCCTGGGCCAGACCATGCCTCTCGGGCCCGGCGGTGCCCTGGCCCCCCTGGGAGCGCTGGTCTCCGCCCTGCTGCCGGCCAGCGCCGAGCGAATGCACGTCTTGGGCAGCCGCGAGGGTCAAATCGGCGCAAGCATTGGGTCGGGCATGTCCCTCCACAGGAGGAACATTCAAAAGCAGGCCAAAAAATAGTTCCGGGACGACGTTTCGATGATTTGTTTGACCATTCTTGAATAATCGGTTTACTTGTGTTCCAGTTGTTCCTCCAAAATCCGCCTGTAGGAAGACATGCCCTACCCAACGTAAGGAAGCCCAAGACCATGTGAGGCATTTCAGAAAGGGCATCGCCTTCGAGGACCGAAGGAGCTGCCACCTCGTCCGCGGCGGAAGGCAGCGGAAGCTCGGCGGAAGCTCGGCGGAAGCAGAAGTCGACCTCCCGAGAGACGACCACATGTTTGGGGTTCAAGGTTTCCTGGAGCCGCCATGGGGATCTGCAGGAAAGTGCGGGGGAAGTGTGGGAGGTTGGGGGGGGGGGGCAGGGAAGTCCTGGAGATGCGGAAGCGCATGGGGGAATCCGATGCGCTGTGTGCGGCTTGCTGGTGTCCCCCTGGGGCCCCTTTCCTAGGCAACCTGACTCGCGAGCTGAGCCTCCAGAGCCGGCCCGTACAGCCGGCCGACTGCGTGAGCTCCGAGTGCAGCACGGTCAGCTGGAGGGCCATCCCATCGATGCGCCACAGCCTGCACGAGAGCGACCTGAAGATGTGCGCGATGGGCCGCGTCGCGTGGCGCTGCCAGTCGCGGCCCTGGCACGACGCCGTCGAGGCCTCGAGGGGCAGGCTCGAAGAAGAACAAACAGAGCACAAGCATAAACCTCTGCAGGTCCACTCGGATTTCCAGGATCGGCGCTGGGCCCCCCCGGGGCGGCGCCAGAGGCGCCTCCCAGGGGGGGCACCGGCGCCGATCCGAGAAGTCCGCGCGAACCTGCGACCATTTGCGGCCGGGAGCCTTTGCCTTAGAGCGTGTCACGGCGGCGGCCCCGGCGACACGCCCTGCGAGCGGACGGCGTGTCGCTGCGCTCCGCGGGGCGGGAGGCCAGGAGGAGGAGGAGGAGGAGGAGGAGGAGGAGGAGGAGGAGGAGGAGGAGGAGGGAGGATAGGAGGAGGAGGAGGAGGAGGAGGAGGAGGAGGAGGAGGAGGGAGGAGGAGGAGGGAGGGAGGAGGAGGAGGAGGAGGAGGAGGAGGAGGAGGAGGAGGAGGAGGCGAGGAGGAGGAGGAGGAGGAGGAGGAGGAGGGAGGAGGAGGAGAGGAGGAGGAGGAGGAGGAAGGAGGAGGAGGAGGAGGAGGAGGAGGAGGAGGAGGGAGGAGGAGGAGAAGGAGGAGGAGGAGGGGAAACGCTCGGGACGTGGACGCCCGGGGGCCCGGACGTGGTGCCGTTAGCGTGTCGCGCCGAGGCGCGGGGGGCCACAGCGCCGGTGGCGCGACGCGCCGAGCGAACGCTCCTGGCCGAGTGCAGTCAGGCCGCATGGTGAGGACGATCGACCTCCCAAGGGTACCCCACAGTCAGCCAGGAGGAGGAGGGGAGGAGGGGGGAGGAGGAGGAGGAGGAAGGAGGAGAGGGGGATGATGATATGATGATGAGGAGAGGGGAGGGGAGGAGGAGGAGGAGGAGGATGAGGGGGAGGGGGGAGGAGGAGAGAGGAGGAGGAGGGGGAGGGAGGAGGAGAGGAGGAGGAGGAGGAGGAGGAGGAGGGGGAGGAGGAGGGGGAGGAGGAGGAGGAGGCCAGAAAGGATTACCGACTTCCCAAGGGCATACCCCTGCATCCTTGCCTCTTAGGGGAACGACGAATGACATAAATCCTTAGGGGAACGAAGAATGACGTAAACATAAAAACTCGGAGGTCCGCGCTGGACCCCCCTGGCGGTGCCTCCGGCGTCGCCCCTGGCGCGCCCCGCGCGCCAGGGAGGGGGGTCCAACGCGGATCCTAGAAATCCGCGCGGATTTCCGAGTTGTTTTAAATGTTTATGTCATTATTCAATCCCCTAATCCTTGCCTCTTCGGGCATCGACCACTTTCTGTTGCCAGCCCCGCTCGAAGGCCCTCGGCATGGCCTTGCAGGGCCCCTTGCACCCGGGTCGTCCGTCCTCATCATACGGGTTGACTTGTCTGGTCAGGCAGTCTCTTGCTCCCGTGCAGGTGCCCAAAGCCCAGGGACGCTGGAGTGCTCGCCTTGGGCCGGAAGAGGTTCGACTTCGCGCAAGAGTGGCCCTTCGCTGATAGTGACCTTCGGTGCGGGCACATCGGGGCCCCCAGATGGCTGAACACGATGCGACAGCATCGGCTTGCGTGCTTGGGTTTGGCCCCCATCGCGCACCCCGCGCACCGAGTGTCACGCCTGCCCTTAGTGGGCCCTGGAAACGACTGGGCCGTTTTTTTACCAGTTCCGTTTTGCCGTTTTCTTCCCGGTTCTGGCGCCGTTGGTTTGCCGGTTTCGTCGCCGTTGGTTTTCCGCCTCTGGTCCCGGCTCCAATGCCTGAGCCGTTTTTGTTGCCGTCTCCAGTTGCCGTTTGTTTTTGCCGCCTCCATTTTCAAGAGACAGTGCTTCGATAACGGTGAAAAAACGGCCTTGCCGTTCCCAGACCCCCGACGTTCTGGTTGTTTCACAACCTCAACTCCAGAGGTCTCGACCCTTTCCCCGGGTCTCATCCTGAGTCGTTCTTTGACGGCCCCGAGGTCCGCGAAGGGCTCCCAGAGGCCGAAAATAATGAACAACTGTCCGTCGTGATTTTTTTTCATGACTCGAAGGGGTCTGGGCTTCCAGGGCCCATTCAGCTCCTGCCCAGGGCCACTTCTTGCGTGCAGCCGCGAGGTGCGAGGTGGGGGACCTGTGCTCGGCCGTGGCTGCGCGCGTCGTCCTGTCCTGGATGTCCTGCGCCCCTCCGCTGGCCCCAGGGGGGAGGGCGACGTACACACAGTACGAGTAGGTTTCGGGGGCAACGATCCGGGGGGGGGATGGGCATAGGGGGGGGATGCATCCTTCGACGAAGAAAGAAAAAACATAAACATAAGCTTTTGGCGCTCCGCGCGGATTTCTTGGATCCGCGCCTGGGCCCCCCTGGCGGCGCCTCCGGCGCCGCCCCTGGCGCGCTCCGCGCGGGGTGTCCCGCCGTGGTGTCCTGTGATGTCCCGTTGGTGTCCCGTCGGTGTTCGTCGGCGGTGGACGGGTGGTGGCTGGGGGCATCCCGCCTTGGCATTGGTAGTGAAATTGATAATGAGATTGATCATGAGATCGGTAGAATGGGATGGATACCGAGATCGAAAGTGAGGCCTGAAGTGAGATTGATTGTGACATTGGTTGTGAGATCGATGGTGAGATCGATAGTAGACTTGATAGAGGAATCGATCGTGAGATCGGTCGTGATACTAATAGTAAGATCGCAGGCGAGATCTATGGTGAGATCTATAGTGAGATCGGTGGTGATAGTGAGATCAATCGAGTGTGATCGATCTTGTGAGGTCGACAGTGGGATCGATCGAGTGAGATCGAACGCGGAGACGATGGTGGAATTACATCGCAGCGCAACATCGCCATCACACTTCGTCGCTAACTCGAGGGCGCCTCACCAGCATCGTCATCATCACACCCATCGCATTTGCCAGCAAATGGTTGTCCCCCCAAAACCCCCGACCTACTTATCACCCGATGGATGGTTGTATAGGTATGTACGATTATCATTACAACCATTGGGCGAGGGCGATGGAAACTGAGACCGTGGTAATGACTGGCGGTGGAAATAATGTTGATGATGTCGTTTGGAGATGTTAGCCATGAAGTTTAGCGTACGTAACTTCAGACGGGGCATGTGAGAGCGACGGCGATGAGGGCGAATCTGATGACGATGATGATCGGAGGTGAGGGGTGAGATCGCAGCGAAACGGACAGCCCTCCAAAGGGAAATCGGTTCCCGTTTCGCGTTCGTATCGTCCGTGCGCGAGGCGAAGCTGCATGGGCGGGCTAGAGGAATGACTCCGCCTTGGTCCAGGCAGCTCAGGACAAAAGACCGCCCCTCCAGTGGGCCGGCGTGGCTGGGGGTGTCCCGTCGTGGTGTCCCGCCGTGGTGTCCCGTCGGTGTCCCGTCGGTGTCCGCGGGCGGTGTCTGGTGGTTTCCCGCCGTATTGTCCCGTCGGTGACCCATCGGTGTCGTGTCGGTGTCCCGTCGGTGTCCCGTCGGTGCCCCGTCGGTGTCCCGGCGGTGTCCCGTCGGTGTCCCGCGCGTCTCGTAGGTGCCCCGTAGTGATACCGATAGTGTGATCGATAGTGAAACCGATAGTGAGACCGATAGTGAGGTCGATAGTTACATCGATAGTAAGATCAATAGTGGCACTGGTAGTGAGATCAATCGTGAGATCGATAGTGAAGGCGATAGTGAGATCGGAACTGAGAGGGACAGTGATATCGACCGTAAGATCGATTGTGAGATCTATCGGATGAGATCGATAGTGATGACCCATCGGTGTTCCGCTGGTGTCCCGTAGTGAGATCGATCGTCAGATCGATCGTGTCAGTAATAGTGAGATCGATAACTAACGATTCAGACCGACAGTGGGGTCGATAGTGTCATCAATAGGGATATCGGTCATAAGTTCGATAGTGAGACCAATAGTGAGGTCGATTATAGGATCGATAGCGAGATCGACCTTGATATCGTTTGAGTGAGACGTTGGTTCCTCCGCCTCGAAACTCCTCACCTGAAGGGTTGTCGCAGAGGTGATTGAGAATGAAGAAGCTGGGCATCTAGTTACGTTTGGGGGAGTCGCATTGGTCATGAGAATGAAGAAGTAGAGTATACGTAACTCCAGACGAGGGTGGATTAGAGCGATGGCAGCGAGGGCGAGGATGACGACGATGATAGTAAAGACATCGAAGGAGCCGGGTGTCAAGATCATGTCATTGCACGAGGGGTCTAGATCAGAACACGTCGAATGTGGGAGAGCACCTCGCTTTTCGGTATCTCTGGGGTCAGCGTGGAACCGATTAGAGATTGGAGTCAGCGGCGTGTGAGGGGGGAGAGTCAGAAAGAGGAGGCTTCCTGGGCATGCGGCGGGACTTCTCAGAAGCCCCCCGGCCTGTGGCAAGTCTCCTGCGCCCTCGGGGAAGGCTTGGAAAACTCATCACAAGGCCCGAGGCCTTCCGAGCCCTCGAGCCGGCCCGCCCCCTCTCGCGTCCCCTCCCCAGGCTCGCCGCCTCCTCCCTCCTCCCTCCTCCTCCTCCCTGCTCCCTCCTCCTCCTCCTCCTCCTCCTCCTCCTCGCCCTCCTCCTTCTCCTCCTCCTCCTCCTCCTCCTCCCTCCCTCCCTCCCTCTCTCTCCCTCCCTCCCTCCCTCGTTTTCCAGACTGTGCTGGTTGTCTCGGACCACGCTGGAGCCACCTTCGCAGTGTGTGTGGGGGGGGCTTCCGGGCTTGCTGGGCCAGTCGCTGAGTCTCTTGGGGCTCACTGGGGGGCTCTGGGAAGCTCGCAGGGTCCCCGCCCTCCCCTCGAGCCCGATTCTGGATGTCAGGGGAGGGTGGACAAGGGGGAAAGGAGGCCACCAAAGATCAGGCACGCCCCGTCACCCGCGGCAAACGGGCGGGGGGGGGATCGGCGGATTGCTCACAACATGCGGCACTGGCAGTGCCGTCCGCGGCTATCCGGGCGGCACCGGCAGCATCCCCACGGCGACGGAGACCACCTGCGGGAAGGTGTCCGACGTGCGCATCGACATCGAGCTGACGGGCGCCTGCGACCGCCTCGTCTCGAAGAGCACACGACGGCACGAACAACAATTTTCTAAGGTCCGCGCGGAGATCTGGAATCTGCGCTGGGCGCCCATGGCTGCGCCTCCGGCGCCGCCCCCACCGTTAAATCGGGCCTGTCCCTCTACAGGAGGAATATTCCAAAATAGTCCACGAATGATATGGGAACGATGTTTTGATTATTTTTGTAGCATGTTTGAATATTTTTCCAGTATTTCTTATTTGTCGTCGAGAATGGGCCTGTAGGGGGACATGCCCGACCTAACCCCAGCGCGCCCTGCGTACCGAGGAGGGGAGTCCAGCGCAGATCCAAGGAATCCGCGTGGCTCTTCGAAAGTGCATGCTTGTGCTGTCCTTTCTTCTTCTGTCGTCCGCAACCAGGGGAACAACCTCAGCTCGGCGGCGAGCGAGGGGGGGAAGTGAGAGGGAGCAGGCCTTCTCAGAAGGCGGTGGGACTTCTCAGAAGCCCTCCGGCCTTCTGAGAAGCCCCCCTGCGTCCCCAGAGACGGCGCAGAGAGCTTTGCAGGAGGCCGGAGGCGTCCCCAGCCTTCTGAGAAGGCCCGCCCCCTCTCGCTCCCCCCCCAAGGCTCGCCGCCGATCAGCACCCTGGCTCGGGTGGGCAGCTCGCTGCTGTGCGGCTGCGACAGCCTGAACCCCCCGGGCAGCCGGCGCGGCGGGGACGCCATCTTCCAGAGGAGCAGGGACAGCAGGTACATCGTCAAGCTGATGAGCTCCGACGACGCCAAGGTGCAGGAGCGTCTGCTCCACGACCGGCGGGGGAGGAGGCAAAGCTTGCCCCCGATGTTGGAGACCTATGTCTACTTCGATGCGTGGCGCCGCTCCATGGTCATGAAGAATTTCTTCGACGCCGGGGCCATTGGCCTCACCGCGCAGTGGAGATTCCCTGGCTGGGCAAGATGGGCCTGTGGCCAGGACGCCGGTGGGCAGAACCTGGGCGTGGATCTGGTCTGGCAGGGCGGCTACGACGTGAAGCCCAAGCCGTGCAAGTCTGCCCAGAGGGCGCCGCTGCTGGCAGAGATAATCAAGAACCACTGGAAGTTGAAGGAATGGAGCGGCTGGGTTGACATGGTGTCGCGGCTAAAGGTGGCTCTCAGGTTCTTGAAGGAAGAAGAGTTGGTGGACTATTCGCCATTAGTGAGCCTGTGGACGGCGTCAGCCCAGAACAGCACTCCCAGTCCTGATTGTGAGCCTCGTCTTGTCGGTGCCGCGCCACGGAAATGCCTTCTGTCGCCGAAGTGTGTCATGGCAACCGATCCCCGGAACGACCAGCACGACGCATTCGAATTCGAATACATGCCGGGACACGGCTACTCTGAGGACATTCAGTCGGAGCGGTGTGATCTCGTTTGTTTGACCGTGGTCGATTACCTCATGGAGTATAGCGTCAAACGGAAGCTCGAGAATCTGTTCAAGAATCGCAAGTGGAGCAATTACGACGAGAAGGTGTCTCATCTCGTGCAATGTATGGGAGACATTATGTCTGATGATTGCGAGGAGTACCTGCAGATGGGGTGCATGCAGCTCTGGGAGAGGAACGACGTCACGCTGCACGAGATGCGGTGGTGCAGGGAGTTCCAGTTTACCCCAAGAGTCCCGCGGATCCCGAGGTGGGCCTGGGTATGGGCCGGCTGCAGGCCGGACCTCGATTGGGTGGACCCAGACGGTGACGGCTGTGACGCCTACGAAGAGATGATGATCGACGTGGACGACCTCAGGGTGGTGGGCTCGGCAGGCAAGAGCCCTCTGGCGGCCTGCTGCGCGAAGCAGCACAAGAGCGGATTCGTCACGTATGCGCGGTCGCGTTGGCAGGCTTTGGACGAGACTTACGAGCCCGAGACGGCCTCAAAGCTGCCTTTGCGGGTCTGGAAGAAGCACGGGTGTACCACCGAGGAAAGCTGGAAGGACCAGAGGGGCCGCGACTGCGCCACCTTCTACGACGGGCGGCTGCTCCTAGACGGGGATTGGTGGAATGGTTCCCCAGGAGTCTCTGGAGGCGAGCTGACACCCATGGAGGCGTGCTGCTTGGAGAAGGCAGATGGCAAGATCATCTACTCTGTGTCGTCCTGGCTGTTCAACGACTGACTGCGTTCTACCTCATGTCTCCCTCCTCGTCGTCCTCCTCCCCCTTCTCTTTCTTCCCTAATGTTCCTTTCTCCCTCTGCTTTTCCTCCTCCGCCCTCCCCATCTCCTCACTCCATCCATTCATCTATGCAGTCGTCCCTCTCTCCCCTCCGCCGCCTACCTCCCCTTCGCCGTCTCTCTTCCCATCCGTGCAATCCTATCGCTGCATGCGCCGCCACGTCTACAGTCGCCGCGATTTTAGCACGGCCACATACCTATAGGCGCCCACAACAAAATCCCACCCCGAAGAGCAACTTCTCACCCGAGGGGGGTCTCTGGGCCCCCCGTTTGCGTTACATACGCCGCCACGCTGACCTTCGCCCCACTACACGCTGGTCGTTGATAGTAGGTCTTCTCGGATAGCCAGATCCCAATATGATGTATGCGCCTTCCTACTTCCTGTTCCCTCCTCTTCATGCGGTGGGTGGAGACTACATCTACTTCCCAGGCCTTGTGCTTCATGTTTCTACCCCACCTCGTCCTGCCGACGGGCATCTGGACGGACCCACACCTGCAGGCGCCCCCCCCCCAAGAAGAATCCCCTCCGAAGAAAGCTGCTGACCCGAGGGGGGGGTCCCTGGGCCCCCCAGCGTGCAGCAGCCAGCCTCGCGCGGGAGGGCCTGTTTACCCTCGAGCCCTCTGGCCTGCAGCGGTGCCCAGACATCTCAGGATGTTGCAAGGGACCTCCTCCTCCTCCTCCTCCTCCTCCTCCTCCTTCTCGTCCTCCTCCCCCCCCTCCTCCTCTTCTGCCTCCTCCTCCTCCTCCTCCTCCTCTTCCCTCTTCTCCTCCTCCCCCTCCTCCTCCTCCTCCACCTCCTCTTCCTACTCCTTGTCCTCCTCTTCCTCCTCCGTCGTCTCTATCATTCCTTTTCCTCCTCCTCCTCCTCCTCCTTCTCAGCCTCCTCCTCTGCGCCCCCGATCCCCGAAGCATTGATTCCCAAAGGGTGCGTTCCAGAAAGGGCCTCGCCTTTGAGGATCGAAGGAGTTGGCACCTCTGCCGCGGCGGAAGACCAGCGGAATCCGTCGGATGTAAGACGGGGGCGGCTTCACCGGCGGAAGCCAGCAGAAGAAAACGATGCGCCTTGTCAAGAGAGGGCAACATGTTTCTGTAGGAAGTCGTGAGAGCCGGGCATGTCCTCTTAATTCCGTAGTTAGAGTCGCACCGCGTCGATTAGCGTTTGGGAGTCGATGAGATGGCGCCGATTTAGCGTCGGCTAGCGTCGATCTAGCGTCGATCAGTGTCGATTTAGCGTCGACTAGCGTCGATTCGCCAGAGCCGGCAGAAGGGTCTGGAGGCTCCTATGAGTTGCCACCGAAAGTGTTTCCGGAGTCGGCCAAATTCGGCTTTGCCTCGTTGTTATTCGTCTGTTCGTGAAAGAAACTCGTGTGTGCGGGGCCAGTCGTCAGAAGCGGCCCCTGGCGTTGCCCGGTTTTTTTCGGCATCCCCTGTTGCCAGGCAGTGTCAGGCAAGGCCAAGCAATGCCAAGCAATGCCAAGCAATGCCAAGCAGCGTAGCCCAGCAACGCCAAACAATCCCCGAGGTTCCCCGGGTTTGCCTTGGCCAGTTCCTCGGCGTTGCCTGGGGCCCCTCTGGGTTGGCATTGCCGCGGAACGCCAGGCAATGCTAGGCAACGCCACGCAATGCCGAGCACTGCCAAGCAACACCAAGCAACGCCTAGCAGCAGTGCCAGGCAACGAGCTGCGCTGCATTGGCGTGCGCGGCTCCGAGCTGATCTGCACCGCCTGGGAAGAACTCAGACCCCAGCTGCACGGACGCGCCCGAGCAGGGCTGTACGCAGCCATGCCGGCCCAAGGCCGACCGCCCCCCGCGGGCGCAGGTCCTCGGCGCCGGACGGCGCCATGGCGGGCGGCCCCGCGGAGCCGCGGCGGAAAGCCGCGCGCCGCGCCGCGGACGCTGCCGCGGCGGAGGCCGAGGCGGCGGAGGCCGCGGCGGCGGCCGCCGCGGAGGCCGCCGCGGAGGCCGCGGCCGAGGCGCGGCGGCGCCGGAAGGCCGCCCCGGCGGGCCGCCGCGAGGCGGCGGCAGCGGAGGCCGCGGCGGGCGGAGGCGCCGCGGGCGGAGGCGGAGGCCGCGGCGGCGGCGCCGCCCGCGCCGAAGAGGCGGAGGCGCGGGAGGGGCGCGGCCCGGGCGCCTTCGCGGGCGGGGGCGGCGCAGCGGCCGCGCCCGCGGGGGGCGGCGGCGGGGGGGAGGCGGAGGAGGGCCGCGGCGAGGGGGGCGCGCCGCCGAAGAGGCCCCGGGCGCGCGGCGGCGCGGGCGCGGGCGCGGGCGCCCTGGCCGTGGCTGCCGTCGTGGCGGCAGGGGCGGCCTCGGCGCAGCAGCCCGAGGAGGAGGAGGAGGAGGAGGAGGAGGGGGATCGGGGGTGGACCGAACTCCCACCCTGGCACGTCGATTCGTGAATTGTCCGTTCCCGGTTCTCGAGGGGGCGCCGCGGCCGTCATCTTCCAGGCTTGCGCCCGCCAGGTTTGGGCCCGAGGGATTCAAGAAGAAAAACGTGATAAACATAACCTTTTGGCGCTCCGCGCGGATTTCTTGACTCCGCGCTGGGGCTCCCCTGGCGCGCGCTGCGCTCGCCAGGGTGGGGGGGGCCCAGCGCCGATCTAAGAAATCCGCACGGAGCGCCAGAAGTTGATGTGCAGAACGTTTTTTGTTCTTCCAGAGGACGAGGCGGACGACGACGCGTATAGCGAAGGAGAGGTGCCGCTCAAGAGACCCGCGGGCCCTGCCCCAGCCGATGCCAAGACGAGGGCCCCTGATGCCAAGGCAGCCTCGAAGGGGGGCGACACGTGCGCGGATCGCACCGACGAGGTCGACGGCGAGGGGGAAGCCCCGCTGGGTGCGCTCGCAGCCCCTGCCAAAGCATCTGCCCGAGCACAGGCTCGGAGGAGGAAAAGGCAGTTACCCATACCGCTACCCTTCGCCCGTTTTCCCCTTTTCGGGCCTCCTCGGATGCCCTCGTCGCCACCGTTGGATTCGCCTCGAAATTCTGGTCAGAACGCACCCCAGGAGAGGTCCGGGGAGTAGCGGTGTCTGTACCTTTTGGTGTCCCCACAGGCTGCGGCCGCAAAGGAGGATGATGAGGGTGCAGAGGTGCTCGGGAGCGATGAGGAGGTTCCCCTGAAGAGGATCGAGGGGCGTCTGGATGAAAAGAAGGCGGCGGGAAAGGGGAAGGGGAAGGGGAAGAGCTGCAAGGAGTTTGAGGTGTTCGTGGGAGGACTCCCGCCAGCGGCCACGGAGAAGAAGGTGCGCAAGCATTTCGCAGGGTGCGGTAACATCATCTCAGTGAATCTGCCGCTCAGCAGCGACGGGGTCCACCGCGGGAAGGCTTTCGTCGAGTTCGATTCGAAGGCCGCTTGCGACACCGCGATAAAGCTCCATGACGGGAGCGACTTCCAAGGCTCCTCGATAAGCGTGCGCCTGGCTGGTGACAGGGGCAAATCCGCCGAGACCACGGAGAGGTGGAGAAAGGATTTTGAGGTGTGCGTGGCTGGGCTGCCGTTCTCGATGTCGACAGATGACATCAGGAAGGTGTTCGAGAAGTACGGCAAAATCGTGGCGTTCAGGATGCCCCCCGACGCTGCAGGTAATCACCGCGGGATCGCGTTCGTGTGCTACGCATCCCGGTCGTCCTGCGCGGCGGCCCTTGCGTTGCACGGCACGATCTTCGGCGAGCGCGGGCTCTTCGTCTACATGTCGGGGGACAAGGCCGCCGCTTCCGCTGCGCGGAAGCCGCCACTTCCACTTCCTCTCAAGGAGAAAGCCGCAGCGTGCAAGAAGGAGTTCGAGCTGTTCCTTGGTGGGCTGCCCTTCGCTGCAACCGAGGATGTCCTGCGGAAGGACTTTTCGGAGTGTGGCGAGCTGGCGTCCTTGAGAATTGTCAAGGACGCGGATGGCAACTGCAAAGGCACCGCCTTCGTCGAATATCGTGACAAGGCGTCGTGTGAGGCTGCTCTGAAATTTGATGGCACCGAATACGGCGGCCGCAAACTTAGAGTGCGCTACTCCAGCGACGACAGTGGCAAGCGCACAAGCGAAGCAGGCAAGGGTAAGGGCAGGGGTAAAGGCAAGGCCAAGTCCGGAAAAGCCCCAGTGGTCACGGGGAACAAGGACTTGGAAATAATGATTACCGGATTACCTTTCGCTGCCACGCAGGAGAAGGTTAGAGAAGATTTTGAAGAATGCGGCGAAATCGTCCGTCTCGTTATGCCGCTGAACGACGACGGCAATGCCAAAGGCAATGCTTACATCGAGTTCACATCAAAGGCAGCATGCGAGAAAGCTCTGGAATACAATGACACTGAGTACGGTGGGCGTTGGATTCGAGTGCGGATGTCCGGTGACCGTGTTGGATCTGCCGAATCCAAGGCGAAAGCCAAGAGCAAGGTTGGCGTTCAGAAGACAGGGCAGGTCAAGTTTGATTCCGATGATGAGTAGTGCTAGTTCTCAGTGGTTGCATCGGCCGCATCTGGCGTGAGTGCTATCTTTACGGGAGTTCCGAGAGTCAAACCATATTGACGTGCCTTGCTCATTGTGATGAGTGCCTTGTGCAGCCTGGATTGTTCAGGATGCGTGTTGCATCAGGGGGTGCTCAAAGACTACCGTGCGAGGCCAACCAGAAAATGAGCCGAAACCAGGTGCTGGTCGTCATAGGGTGAACTGGTCGTTACAGTGGGGATGCACGAGTCTTCTAGCGCTGGCCATCTCAGAGGCATACCATCGGCAAGATATGCTGAATCTGAGCAGCTCTTGTCAGGCTCTTGTATCCGAAAGTAATTCAAGTTTGTCCTTAGTTCTTTTCCCCCCAGGACCAGTTGACGACGGAGATTCCAGGATTGTTACCCGCTTTCTTGGTGCAGGAGCTGCCGCCGCGAGGCTTCCCACGACTCCGCCTCCTCCGTGTGAGATGTTTGTGGGCCCGGTCGATCCGCGAGCGTCCGTGGGCTCGAAGTGAAGCGAAAACGCCCCCGGTGATTTGGTCACGGCGCCCGTGGTGCGTACGCTTTGCATTTCCGGGTGACGTCATTTGTCCTCTTCATGTGCACTCTCTTCTCGTGCCCGATGCGGGTACGCTGTGGATCCGACGAGGACCCGACGCGAACTCGACGCTCGGCGCAGACTCGGCGCGGACAGCCGCGCGATGGGACCGACGAGGCCCCTCGAGAGTGCAAGGCACAACCCAACCACATCACAAGGATGAGCATCGAAGGAGAGAGAACCGCTACAAGCATAAACTTTTGGCGCCCCAGCGCGGATTTCTTGGATCCGCGCTGGGGCCCCCCCCGCGGCGCGCTCCGCGCGCCCGGGAGGGGTCCAGCGCAGATCCAAGAAATCCGCGCGGAGCGCCAAGAGCAGCTCTCCGAGGGCAGCTCTCCGAGGGCCCCCCAAAGACGAAGAAGAAGAAGACCTATTTCTTCACTGCAGTCCTCGGATTCTGTATGCAAATGCGCTCGGAGCCCGAGCGAAGATACAAAGTGAGAGAGAAGATGTATCTGCACTAGCTTGTTACTGTATGTGTACTTGCAGCTATAGGTACGCAGTCGCTAGGCCTTTCTGCCTCAGCGTCCTGAGCCCCTCGGCCCATCCCGACCCTCAGCCATCCATGGGGCCGTGGGCTCCTCACTTCGGCTTCGGCCCTGAGCGCCCACGGGCCCTTTGCAATCCGCGCGTCATCGCGGCCCCGTCGCAGTGCTCATCGGCGGCGGGCGAGGGGGGGAAGGGAGGTTCAGTGGGGGCGTGTCACTCTACATGAGGAGTGTTCGAAAAATAATCAAAAAATAGCCTGGGGGCGATTTTTCTAGTATTCTGAACATGTTTTCAGCCTTGTTTGGCTATTTTTATTTTTCGTCCACAATCTCCCTGTAAGGGGGATATGCCCGACCCAAAAGTGAGGAGGAGAAGGTCTCCTCAGAAGGCGGCGGGACTGCTCGGAAGCCCTCGCGCCTTCTGAGAAGGGCTCCGCGTCTTCGGGGAAGGCCGAGAGAAGACTTCTCAGAAGGCCGGGGGACTTCCGAGCCTTCTGAGAAGGCCTTCTCCTTCTCCCTTCCCCCTCCCCCCTCGCTCGCCCGCCGAGCTGAGGATGCCAGGGGCGCGCGGTCGCTCCCGGGGAGGTCCGCAGGGGCTCCGGCGCTGGGTGGTCCGTGGAGCGCGGGGCGCCGGCCGGCGGGGGGCCTCCCGTGCTGCAGAGGCTGCGCCCGCCATGCTTCTGGCCAGCCGGAGCGCAGAGGGGCACGGTCATCTAGAAGACAAGATAAGGTCGGGCATGTCCTCCTACGGGCGAGAGTTGGCAGGGGAATGCAAAGGGCAATCCATCGACTGTTCAAGCACACAGTCCAGCACAGTCACAAGATCGTCCTCATCTTGTTGGACTTCCTCTTTGTGCTCCTCCCGTAGAGGCATGCCCGACGTAATTCCATTGCCTCGTTCTGAAGGTGGTCTGCTATCCGCCCGTGCAAGTGAGACCCAACTTCAAGATCTGGTCAATACCTTTGCAGAAGTTTGAAGCGAGAGGCCCATTTTGAAAAAAAGATTCGCCATCCATTTGTGTATGTATTGCAATTATTGACGCTTCGCGTACCCCAACCAGCCCGTCCCAAATCGACGCCCAGGCGAGTTGAGACGATCAGGGAAGTGTAGGAGCAAAGAGGGGGACAGCCGTCATCGCTTCAGGGAGGATGAGGACGGATGAGGAAGGAGGCAGAAGGATGATCAATTAACTGAGGAGGAGCTGTCGGAGGAGGAGGAGGAGGAGGAAAAGGAGGAGGAGGAGAGAGATGAGGGAGGAGGAGGAGGAGTAGGCGGATAAGAAGGAGGAAAAGAGGAGGAGGAGGAGGAGGAGAAGGAGGAGGAGGAGGAGGAGGAGGAAAGAGGACGAGCAGAAGAGCCTCCCAGGATGTCTCTTGAGAGTTTTAGGAGGCCTCTTGGAGCGTGTGGGGGGCATCTTGGCGGGCCCAGAGACGTCTTTGAGCGTCTTGGGTGCCTCGGGAGTTCTCTGGAGGCCTCTTGGGGGCCTCTTGTTAGCCTCTGTGAGGTCTCTTGGACCCTTGTGAATCCATTTTGGATGACATCGATCAAAACAGATGGGAGCTTTAACTCGCCTTGTCCATCGAGGGTGCCTAGAATCGTCTCTTGGACCCCTTCTTGGATCACTCTTTGGGCGCTCTTGAGCGCTCTTGGGGCCGTCTTGGGGCTCTCTTGGGCCTCTCTTGGGGCCCTCTTCGGCCGCCATGGGGCAATCTTGAGGCCTTGGAAGGCTATCGAAAGCGAACGGGCGACGATGCAACAATCACTGCTGTTCCGTGAGTTTTTGAAGGATTTTGGCTTCTTGAGGACCTCCTTGGGACTCTCGGAGGCCTCTGGGAGCTGTCTCGGGGCGGTCTTGGGGCCTCTTGGCGCATCTTGGAAGCCATCTTGAGCAATATTGCGCTATCTTGAGCCATCTTGGAGATCATCTTGGGCTCTCTGAGGCCTTCTTGGAGCCGTCTTGGGCCATCTTGGACGCTCTAACCCCTCGCGGTCCAGGAACAGGGGAGGGGGTCGGTGGAGGGGTAAGCCCCTCGCCGAAGGGGAAGAAGGTGGTTGGAAGAGGAGTCTCCCTAGACCACCTTCGCCCAGAGGGCTGTTGGAATTTCAAAGTCGCGACCCACCCCTTCGTCCTTACAACCTTCGGGAACTAGTCTAACGAACGTGCGCGGTGCCACTGCGACAGCCGCATTTCGAATACCACCGTGCCCGTCCTTGTATCTGTCTGAGCTTACCCGCTCCGGGGCAATAACTTGCCCGGACCAGGCGGGAGGAGGGAGGGAGGCGGGAGGCAGCCTTGCCCTCCTCCCTCCTTCCTTCCCTCCCTCCTTCCTCGATGCGTCCTCTCCTGTCCTTCCTCTCTCCATCCTTCCTCTTCTCTAGGCCTCCGAGATGTGGTCCTAGGTCGGATGATCGCGCCGCATGGGCGATGCATCGACGACGCGGCTCGATGTGGAGCCCGTGTTTTCCCACGCCGACGTCGGCAATGTGTCGCCCTGGTGGCGTAACTCCAGAGTGCTCGGGCGAAGTGCTCTTCGGAGGCCCAAAGGTCTCCTTACAGGCGCCCCGTGCGTCCCCCCCCCATGACTGCCCAACAGGAGCCCTGCGCACCATTGGCGCGGGGGCAGGAGGAGAAGGAGGAGGAGGAGGAAGGAGGGAGGGAGGGAGGGACGGAAGGAGGGAGGGAGGCAGGGAGGCAGGCAGGAGGGAGTGAGGTGAAGGAGGAGGAGGGCGGAGGCTCAGGGAAGCAGGAGGAGTAGGAGGGAGGAGGCAGGAGGGAGGAGGCGTGGAGCAGGACAGAGCAGGCTGGAGCACGATGGAGGAGTGATGGGGGAGGAGCAGGAGGGAGGCTGGCGGCCTGGGGAGCAGAAGATGGCCCCGCCCTGGCACCGCCCGCCGCCCGCGTCCGCCCCGCGGGCCCCCGGGAGGCGCCTCCGCCGACGCGGGCCCGGCCGGCGCGGCCGCGGGAGGCGCGGATCCGCGAGAGGGTCGCCCCTGCCGTGCGGGGGGGGAGGTCGCCAGGAGTCGAGGAAGGAAAACATACATGTGAGGCAGCGTGGACCTTGGTGGGCCCCGGAAACGGCAGGGCCGTTTTTCACCGTTTCCGAAAAACTGTCCCTTGAAAATGGAAGCGGCAAAAAAAGGGCGACCAGAAACGGCAACAAAACGGCTCCAGGATTGGACCCGGAGCCGGAACTGGTCAAAAAACGGTAAAACAACAGCGTCGGAACCGGCAATAAGACGGCAAAACGGAACCTGAAAAAGACCCCTCTCTCTTCTCACTCACACACTCACACACTCACATCATCATCACAGCACCAACACAACATCACTTACGCACTCACTCACACTAACTCGACCACGCTCGTTCATTTGCTCTGGACCCCCCTCGCAGTCCTGTCACCTCACCACCTCTCGTCTTCTGCCTTCGCAAGTTCACTCGCTCAATCATTCACGCACCATCATCATGATAACACCTTCAGCTTCTTCTCCCTTCGCACACTCACTCACTGGCCTCATCATCATCTCAATCATCATCATCACCATCACCATCACCATCACCATCATCATCATCATCATCATCATCATCATCATCATCATCATCATCATCATCATCATCATCATCATCATCATCATCATCATTCACATCATCATGATCATCACTCCCCTGTGTGTCGTCTCGGGCGAGAGCCTCGTCTGTGAGTTAATTGCGAGGGGGTCTCAGGCCGGAGCCCCCTCCCTATGGGGCCCGCAGCTCATGTTTTTAAATCCGAACGGGTCATCGGCCTCCTGTAATTGTCGTCATGTTTGCGCTACTGAGGCTTGAATATGGAGGAAATGCCAGGCGGGAGTCTCGTCTGTGAGTGAATTGCGTGGGAGTCTCAGGCGGGAGCCCCTTCCCTTTGGGGCCCGCAGCTCATGTTTCCCCACACGCAAAGTCGGGGTCTTGTTTTCTCTTGACACCCCACGCAGGAACAGGATGGAAGGAAGACCCCCTCTCGCTTCTCACTCACACACTCACACTCACATCATCATCATCATCACAGCACCAACACAACATCACTTACACACTCACTCACACTCACTCGACCACGCTCGTTCATTTGCTCTGGACACCCCGCGCAGTCCTGTCACCTCCCCCCTTCCCTCTTCTGCCTTCGAACGTTGACTCGCTCAATCAACCACGCACCATCACAACCACTCACTCAGCACGGGGGTGGGGGAGGTGGCGGGGGCCTGAGGTTTTTGCCCGACGTTCTCGTCGCGGTTCTTGGGGTTTTCTCGCTCCAGGTGCGCTCAAGCAGCTGCCCCCGTCCGAGAGCGTTACGGGGGGGTGCCCGAGCCGCCCCGAGCGGCCAGCATGGAGACCCGAGTGACGTATGACTTGAGAACCAGATGGCTCCTGGGGGAGACGGGTTCCGGAGATCTTTCGCCGCGTTCGGGCTCTCTCAGGCGATCGCAGACATGGACCAGAGGGTGTATTCGCGACGGGTGTCGTTTCCATGTGAACTCGCGGAGTTCCGCCGCCGGACGAGGCGGCACCAGCCGCACTTGGGGGCGGGCACCTCCCCCGATCCATGGATTTGGCGACCGCGCGCCCAATCCATGGATCGCTAACCCCTGCTTGCGCGCCCCCGGCTCTTGGGGGGGGCCGCCTCGGGCCCTGGGGCCAAAGGTTGGCGTCTCGCGGGAGAGCCCCGGGGCTCCAGGGCCCGTTTCGCACAGGACCCGCCCGCTCCATGGCGAGGATGCCAGCGGGGTGGGGGAGATCGATCCTTCTCCAGCGTTAAGTCGGGCCTGTACAGGAGGAAAACTCAAAAGTAGTAACAAAAATAGTCTGGGGACTATTTTTGTAATCGTATTTCTGAGCGTTTGTTGAGCATTGTTTGCCATTTTGTTGTGCAAAATCCCCCTGTAGGGGGACAGGTCCGACCTAACTCCAGCGTCCTCCGCGGCCTGTTGCTCTGCGAGCTGCCTTCCGGTCGGGAGCCGTGGCTTCACGTGTCGCGACGCCAGTTCTGACCCACCGCGCTTCGGCGCGACTCGCGATGCGCGTCGCGGACGCCGAGCGCCAACGTCCCGAGCCGTTCCCAGCCTCCCGCCCAGCGGAGCGGGGCGACACGCTTTCCGACTGAACGGCTCAACGTGTTGTCAGTGCCGCCGCCGCGGCACGTTCAGCCAAAGCTCCCGACCGTGATCCCGCCCTCCCTTGTCCTGGAAGACTCGGAAGAGGAGCTTGATGGTGTCGGAGGTTGTCGGCCTGCCTCCCGCGCGGTGGAGGAGTCCGGCTCTGAGAGCCGGGGCCTGCGGAGACGTCGCCTCCACTCAATGTCAGGCGCCACGTTGCTGCCTGTCAGTATGCCCAAGGACATCGGATAGCACAATCATGCATGATCATAGACATTCGGAGGTCCGCGCGGATTTCTTGGATCGACGGTGGGCTCCAAGCGCCAGGGAGGGGGGGTCCAGCGCCGATCCAAGAAATCCGCGCGGCCTCCGAACATTATATGCTTTCTATGGTTAAGTCGGGCCTGTCCCCCTACCGGGTGGTTTTTTCAACGAAAAATAACACATACCCCAAAAATAGTCCAAACATAGTCCCAACATAGTCTGGGGATTATGTTTGGAGTCTTTTTTGATCTTTTCGGGGTATTGTTGGGACCTCTTTTTATTCTTCGTCGAAAATCCCTCTGTAGGGGGACAGGCCCGACTTAGTTCTATGTGTGCGTGCGTCTACACGCATGTAGGTGCACAGGCACGAGCGCCATGTCCGTGCATGTATAGAAATATCTGTAGGTCGATCGTCTCCCGAGGGAGGCCGGAGGGCCTGGAGCGGCTCGCCCGCGCTCGAGGCCCCCGGGGCTCCCTCTCGGCCCACTCCCCGGCGGGGGGCCCGAGGGGGGCGAGTGGCGGAGGGCTGGCTGGAGGTGCCCCGCCCCGGCCGGGCTGTTCCTCGGCATCGCTCGGGCGTGCTCATCCGTTCCGGGCGAGGGCCACCGGGGAGCATCCTCGGGAGCGGAAAAGAGGGGGGTGATGACTAGGGGAGGGTGGATTTCATGGCGCGGGCCATGATTTTTCCCCAGATTTCATGGCGCCTCTTCTTATTTCATTACGTCCCTGGCCCCCCCGCTGGGACGCGCACATGCCGCCGGTCATGATTTGCACCCCCCCCTCTTGGACACCCCCCTCTTGGCCGCTCCCGACATCCTGGATCATCGAGCAGAAAAGCCACGCGCGAGGTCGAGACATGCACGGGAGTGGACGCCCGAGCGATGGCGAGGTTCTGGTGTCCACGCGCCTGCCTGCACCCAGTGCCCCAGGCTTAGGAGCGGCTGCGTTGGAGTGGAAGTCGGCGGTGTCCGACTGGCCAAGAGGAGGAACCCTTGATTTGCGAACAAACATGAAGTGTGACCCTTTCGGGGCCGCCCGAGGTCGGGTGCCTCCCGCTTCCTCCATCCTCGCCCGGCTGCGCGCGAGGAGGAGGGACCCCAGACTTTCATGTATTTGCTCGGCCATCCCGACTTGATCTGCAGGCCTCAGCGCCTAAGTCGGTTGATCGTTGGTTTTGCAGCTCTTCCACCGCCAGGCGCTACGATCCCAGCCGATCTGAGTTTGCCGAACGTCAAACGGAAGGTAGGGGGAACAGCAGGGAGAGCTACAGAGAGACGGATGATGATGGTGACTGGACGGGACGGGAAGGGGAAAATGCAGACGAGGATGTGGAGGAGGATGTGGAGGAGATGGGAGAGGATAAGGACGAGTTGCTGTGGCGTGTCTTACCCAAGGAGATGTATGCCGGAGGGCTTGCTCTGGAGAAGGGATTGTTTTGCTTACGCTGGAGGCCCATGCAGTCTACTGAGGGCGGCGCCCCTTCCGCGTAAAAGCATGGCAGAGACAGCGCGTGGTCCAGTGTGTCCCCGATCCGCTGCCCTCGTGCACGCTGCTCCCCACGCCCGCGAGCTCGCGGTGCGACAGGCGTGCAGATGCGCCCCCTCAGCCCGGGCGAGTGTCACGGCACCCTCATCGGCCCGAGCATCTGGACGATGGTGACCCCAGGCCATCCCCGCTCCTGCTCCTCCCGTGCTCCTCCTCCTCCTCCTCCTGATGCTCCTCCTCCTCCTCCTCCTCCTCCTCCTCCTTCTCCTCATTCTCCCTGCTTTGAGCGGCCTGCCAGCGCGCCAAAAGGACCCCCGGGCTGGCCGAGCGCGTGGGGCGCGGCGTGGCACATTCGAGCGCGCGCGAGCGCGCGCGCGCGCGTGTGTGTGTGTGTGTGTGTGTGTGTGTGTGTGTGTGTGCTGTGTGTGTGTGTGTGTGAGTGTGAGTGTGCGTGTGCGTGTGTGCGCGTGTGTGTGTGTGTGTGTGTGTGTGTGTGTGTGTGTGTCTGAGTTTGAGTGTGTGTGTGTGTGTGTGTTTGTGTTTGTGTGTGTGTGTGTGTCACACCTTCGTGCATGGGTTGGGTGCGAATAATTACGCGCCTCGCTGGTGGTAGGCAGGTGTTGGATGTGCAATCCCCGCGTGCGGGGTCGTCTACTTCGGTAGCAAATCATGGGAGTCTTGTGTACCCTCGTACTACTGCCTTTAGCGTCGATTCGGGTCGATCAGCGTCTGGGATTCGATGAGATACGATTTGGCGTCAGTTAGCGTCGATCTAGCGTCGATTAGCGTAGATTTAGCGTCGACGAGCGTCGATTCGCAAGAGCCGACAAGATGGTATGGGAGGCTCCCATGAGTTGCCTCCGAAGACTACAGCATTGGTTTGCCCCAAAATTGATTTTCTCGTCGAATCTGCAAAACAAGTACGTGGAAGGCGAGTAGATCGACGACCATTCTGCGCGTTTGCTTCACACATGCGACGAGACTGTTCATTCTGACGTGAACCAATTCTGCACTCGATCCCCTGCTCGAACACATGCCCGTCCTCCTCCTCCTCCTCCTCCTTCTCCTCCTCCTCCTCCTCGAGCTCCAGCGCCACCACTACGTGGGCAACTTCGACGATACCATTGCCAAACCACTGCGCGCATGGTTCTCTTCTGCCTCCCCCCCCCTCTGCTTCTGCGGCGCGCTCCGGTAGGGGCCTCGCCTTCGGCGACGTTCTCGCCCTCGGCGGGAGCCGGCGAGAGTGCACCACGGCGGCGGCGACCCCGCCGGCGGAGGCCGGTGGAACGTCGGCCCGGCCACGCGCAGACAGGGGTCAGTGGAGGGCCTGGCGCACGCGCCTCCTCCTCCTCCTCCTCCCCCTCCTCCTCCTCCTCCTCCTCCTCCTCCCATATCCTCCTCCTCCTCCTCCTCCTCCTCCTCCTCCTCCTCCATATCCTCCTCCTCCTCCTCCTCCTCCTCCATACCCTCCTCCCCATCCTCCTCCTCGTCCTCCTCCACCTCCTTCTCCTCATCCTCCTCCTCCATATCCTCCCCCTCCCCCTCATCCTGCTCCTCCTCCTATTCGTCGCCCTCCTCCTCCATATCCTCCTCGTCCTCCTCCTCATCCTCCTCCTCCTCGTCGTCCTCCTCCTCCTCTTCCTCGTCCTCCTCCTCCACCTCCTCCTCCCTCCTCCTCCTTACTGCTCCTTCTCCTCGCACGGGGCGCAAGCATGCGCGACCTGTTCTGCTCTTGCAGTGGAAGAATGAGGAGTGCGGACGTTGATGCATGTGCGTGCCTGGCTTGGCATAGCATGCGAATCGATGATAACACCATGTTTCGTGGCATGGAAAGGCATGTGTGCCCGCTGGCTGGAGCAGAGCATTGGAATCTATGGGCCACGCAGCCAGATGGGCGACTCCCTCCGCGGAGCATCGCCGCGATAGTTATTGCGAAGGCCTGACGGCCGGTGCCGCCGACCCTGTTCGCAATGCGCAGCAAGAGGCACGGGCTGTGGGATGGTTTGGGGGAACGGGGAGAAGGACGAGAAGGTGGGGGAGGGAGGTGTCGTATCTGACCCGGGACTTCCCCGGGACTCCCCCGGGACCCCCCCTGGGACCTCCTCTCCCCCCCCCGTCGGGGAAGGGAAAGGGAAGGGGCTTCCCTTCGACTCAATGACGACGTTGCTCAAGGTCGGTACGGGGGGGGGGCGTCGTATCTGACTCGGGGGGGGTCGCTACCCCCCCCGCTACCCCCCCCCCCCTCCCGGCGGGGGAGGGATCAAAGGGAAGGGGCTTCCCTTCGACTCAATTACGAGGTTGCTCAAGGTCGGCTTGGCTGGAGCCCAGGGGAAGAGGAGTCCCAGGGGGGGGCGTCGTATCTGACCCGGGGGGGGGGTCGCTACCCCCCCCCCCTCCCGGCGGGGGAGGGATCAAAGGGAAGGGGCTTCCCTTCGACTCAATTACGAGGTTGCTCAAGGTCGGCTTGGCTGGAGCCCAGGGGAAGAGGAGTCCCAGGGGGGGGCGTCGTATCTGACCCGGGGGGGGGTCGCTACCCCCCCCCCCCTCCCGGCGGGGGAGGGATCAAAGGGAAGGGGCTTCCCTTCGACTCAATTACGAGGTTGCTCAAGGTCGGCTTGGCTGGAGCCCAGGGGAAGAGGAGTCCCAGGGGGGGGCGTCGTATCTGACCCGGGGGGGGGTCGCTACCCCCCCCCCCTCCCGGCGGGGGAGGGGGAAGGGGCTTCCCTTCGACTCAAGGTTGCTCAAGGGCTCTTCAGAGGAGTTCGTATCTGACCCGGGGGGCTTGAAAGGGAAGGGCTTCCCTTCGACTCAATTACGAGGTTGCTCAAGGTCGGCTTGGCTGGAGCCCAGGGGAAGAGGAGTCCCAGGGGGGGCGTCGTATCTGACCCGGGGGGGGGTCGCTACCCCCCCCCCCCTCCCGGCGGGGGAGGGATCAAAGGGAAGGGGCTTCCCTTCGACTCAATTACGAGGTTGCTCAAGGTCGGCTTGGCTGGAGCCCAGGGGAAGAGGAGTCCCAGGGGGGGGCGTCGTATCTGACCCGGGGGGGGGGTCGCTACCCCCCCCCCTCCCGGCGGGGGAGGGATCAAAGGGAAGGGGCTTCCCTTCGACTCAATTACGAGGTTGCTCAAGGTCGGCTTGGCTGGAGCCCAGGGGAAGAGGAGTCCCAGGGGGGGGCGTCGTATCTGACCCGGGGGGGGGGTCGCTACCCCCCCCCCCCTCCCGGCGGGGGAGGGATCAAAGGGAAGGGGCTTCCCTTCGACTCAATTACGAGGTTGCTCAAGGTCGGCTTGGCTGGAGCCCAGGGGAAGAGGTCTCCCAGGGAAAGGGAAGGACAGAGACGACGAGTACAAAGAATGACGGAGATGACGGCTCGAACGGAAAAGCCCCTCACACACGCCGACAGGGTCGGTGGATTTAAATGTTTTTTTTTGTTTAGAAAGCCGTTATGTTTGCTTTAAGTTCGGTGCGGCAGGTCAGGGCGCGGAGCTATGTCGAAGTAGCGTTCGACCCACGAAACGCAATACTTTCTAGCGGTGGGAACGGAGGCGGGCTGACCACGAAATGTCCCCCTGGAACTGCTTTCCTCTCAGAGGCCTCCCCAGTGATCCGAACGGTGCCAAACCAGCGCATCATGACATCCACAATCAAGACGAAAGTCCTGCGATGATACACGACCCAATACACATGTGGAGGGCCTTCCATGGACTAGTGCTGGATTAGGACGCCATGGCGCACATCCTTGGCGCACTAGGCGCACTAGCGTGTCATGACATCGGTGGGCCACACCAGCGCGTCAGGACGACCATCATCATGAGGATGTTCCTGCGACAACACATCCGTGGATGCACATGCGGACGGCCAGTGTCCCATGTGTACCCATCGCTCTGCAAAACCAACTCGTCGTTACATGCATAATCATGAGGATGTCCCTGCTGCGACGGCACACGCATAACATGCAATCGTTGCGTCTGGGGCGCACAAGTCGCCAGCGTCCGTTGAGACGTCTTGCTGTGGGCAGAGGTCAAAGGGGTCGCGCGCATGGTGGGGGAAGACGGCGCTTGAAGTTCAGGCGAAGTGCTGCTCGAACCACGAAGCGCAGTATTCCCTCGCTCGCCACCGAAAAAAGGAGGTGCCCACGAAATCGCCCTCATACTGGTTTCCCATCAAACGTGTTCTTCAGGGAGTCGAAAGGTCTTACACAATCCTTGGGGTCGGTGTTGAATGAAGACTCCATGGTGTATACTATCGGCAGCCCAGTGTGTCATGAGATCGTTGTGTCACACCAGCGCATCATGGCACCCATCATCATGACGATGGTCCCGCGATGATACACGAGTGAATACACATGCGGAATGCCAGTCTGCCATGAAACCAGCGTGCCACACCCAGTGTGTCATGACATTCATCATTGTGATGATGGGGGTGATGATGGGGGTGATGATGATGGTCCTGCGACGGAACATGACTGGATTCGTCGGGCGGGCGGGCCCAGGAGGCCAGACGACCCACCCGCGACGGGCCCTGCGACCCCCCCTTCGACCCACCCGCCACCCACCCGGGACCCGCCCACATCCTGCGGCGGGCTCGTCGCGCAACGTGAAAAGTCGGCGCTCGCGGCAGGCTTCTTCAGAGCCTCAGACTGCCGACGACCCCGCCGCCCCTACACTCTTATCCATAACTGCGAGGGCGCTGGTAATTCATAAAGCATTCAACGCCATCACTCGCCACCAGAGGATCATTGTGCTGCATTTGAACGCGTTGCTTGCGTTTTGAGCAAATGGCTGACATACGGCGCATGCCAGAATCTGTGAAGCGTTGTCAGCTACACACCCCTTGGGTTTCAAGAGTGTACCTCCTTCGGAAGGCCCACAGGTATCCATTGCTTTGCACATATGAAGACGCTACCAGCGTCAGGCGCAAAGCTAGCCGCAGTGGACGTCCTCGCTTTCGTGCGGCGCGACGGGAAGGAAAGGGCGGGGAAAGGGAGCAGGAAGACAAGGAACAAGAGAGTAGCGACGCCCCCCCCCTTCTCCCCTGGTGGAAGGGGGAAGAAGAGGGGAGAAGAAGGAGCAGAAAGAGGAGGAGCAGAAGGAGGATGAGGAGGAGGAGGGAGAAGCGGAGGGGAGGATGATACACAAAAGTAACAATCGCAAACCAACCGACAAAAAACAAAGAAGACAAAGAGGAGGGAGAAGAGGGCGAGGAGGAGAGGGGGACAATAATGAGGAGGGAGCCCGCCTCCCCTGGCTGGGAGGCCCAGCCGCGCTCGGCACCGGCCCGGGACCCGAAGAGGCCATCAGTGTGCCCCCGCGGGTGGCTTCGAGAAAGCGTGCTTCTGCAGCCACAGTTCTGCAGGAAGGAGCCTCGGGTTGGGAGCGATGCCCCTGTTGGGGGGCGCCGGGGAGGCACGCAGGGCGCCATGAGAGGAGCAGGCACGGCGGGACCTCGGCAGCCGCGGGCCCCTGCCGGGGCCAGGGCGAGCCTTCTCCAGAAGCTCTGGCTGCCTCCCCGCCCGCCCGAAGAGGCCCCTGGGGCGCCTTGGCCGTGCCCGTGGGCGGCCACGCTGGCAGCGGCTCCGTGGCGCGCGCGCCCCCGGCGGCGGCCACGGCGGCAGCCACGGCGGCAGCGACGAGGGCGGCGGGCTCGGCGACGACGGCCAGCCACGGCGGCGGCGGCCGTGGCGAGGGCGACGGCGACGGCGGCCACGGCGGCGGCGATGGCGGGAGGGGGAGGAGGAGGAGGAGGAGGAGGAGGGAGGAGGAGGAGGAGGAGGAGGAGGAGGAGGAGGAGGAGGAGGAGGAGGAGGAGGAGGAGGAGGAGGAGGAGGAGGAGGAGGAGGAGGAGGGGGGTCTCCCCCCACCCCCGCCTTGGCGAAGTGGGCGGCGGCGGCCCGGAAGTATCGTCAGCCACGCCGTCGTCCTCGTCAGCCATGCCGTCGTGTTCGCAGTCGTCCTCCTTCCTCCCTCCTCTTCGTGTCATTTGCCCCTTCGGCAAAGTGCTCCGCCTGCGCTTCCCACTTCTCTCCTCCCCCCCATCATGCCCGATAAGTTCCAGCCTGCGATGATCAGTGCCTCCACATTCTCACCGACTTTCCCAAACGCGTACAGCCGCGATCTCATCGATAACATGCACATCATACAGCGCAGATTCTCGAATGTAGGGTCCCTTCTCAAGCCACTTGGCATTGTTTAGCTGTCAACTCTGCTATCTTGCAACAAATGCGTAGGCTGCCATCCGACTTTGCTCCTCAGGACAAATGCTGCTTTGCCTATTACGCGCACCCCTGGCTTGTTCTTTGTTCGGCCAATGTTTCATTAGCTGACCGTCGACGAAGGCTATCTTTTCTCCTACCCTCTCTTCCCCGCTTGGGGTGTCGCAGGTCCCCTTGGCCATCGCGCCCCTTAAGCTAACCGTTCTGAACCGTCCGATGATGTGTGTGTGTGTGTGTGCCGAGCGGCTGGTGCCCTCTGCCTCTGAGCTCTCTGCCTCGTGAGCTGCCTCGTGAGCTGCAGGATGCGCTCCGGCCGGAAGGGCCTGAGGAGAAGGGGAGGTGGGGCAGAGGGATGAAGGGGGGCGAGGCGAGGGTGTAGAGAGAGGCAGGGAGCGGGGGAAAAGGGAGAAAGAGAGAGAGAGAGAGGGAGGCGAGGGCGCCAGAGAGGAGACGTCCCGGGGGAGCGAAGGCAGACTGGCTGGTGGGCCCAGAGGCAGGCTGCGGGTCCCGTGGGGGCGTGGCCTCGGTGACCGCCCTTTTGGCCAGAGCCTCGCGATGGGCCTCTGGGCCACACCACCCTTTTCCCGAGGGAGGGGGCGACGGGCCACGGGGGGGAGGGAGATCCCCCAACTTGTCAGGGCACCTGCCTCG